TACCGTCTTGAAGAAGGTCCTGAGACGGGCGACCAAAACGGCAACAGGTCTGGGAGCACCGTCCTATGAAACCAGAATGTCAACTGTTAGAGTTTAAATATTAGAGTTAAGGTGGGGTAATGTTACAGTTTGGGTTTGGTTTTGTGGCTTGAGTTTGGATTTAACTTTTAGGTTTGGCATTGCGTTTAGCATTAGGAGTAGGTTCACGGTTAGTTTACTTGCTCGGCGTAAGCATCAGGGTATACGATTAAGTTTCCTCGTTAAGATTTGTTAGTTCAGTGTGCCAGTCCTGTTTAAAATGGCCGTTCGTTAGTTACCCTGGCTTTTTGGTGTTTTGCTGGTCGTCATACTAGTGAACATTAGTTACTCGTACAGTTGCAACGAGTTGTGCGTCTTGATTTGTTACAGGCCTTGCGTCTGCTTGCTAGTCTGTCGGCTTGAGGCCACAGCGTTATTTATGTCCGCGCAAATGTAGCATTCCCCTGGTACCGTTTGTCTCCTCCCCTTTGTCATACCCTGTTTCCAGTTCTACTCATGCTTCACTACTTATGATCGCACTCTCTCCTCACCCCCACCTCCGCAATGCTTCCTACGAACGCGGTCGACCTAACTGTTGTCACCAATACTGCAGCTTTTGAGGTCGTCATAGTCGTGGGGTTGCGGTTTGGCTGCTTAGGCCTGCAGGTGATTAAATTTGCCAGTTTTCACGCTTTGGATAATGTGCCCGTTCACGCTTTCCAAATAACCATATATGGAGTGTCGCCTTCATATTGTGCAGTTGGCTGCTATCGTGTAAGCGCGTTCACGTCGCCTAAACTTTGCAGCTTCTGAACTTGCTTCATCCCCCCCCAGAAAAGCTTGTATACGCGATAATACATAGCCCTGATGCCTAGAAAATCTACGTCGGTCTCGCTGCCTTCACACAGCTCGCTATGCACTCATCAGTTTTCCTACCCAATTCCCCACGATTTCCAAACTGGTAAGTTGCTCCTGCCATCCGGTCTGAGTCCATTGCATCACATCGCACCTTTATCGTTGTATTTTCTACCCTTGTCCTTTTTGCTGAAGGTCGTGGTACCCGGGGTCCCATGCATGGCATAGGCTGCTGCAATGTTGGTAACCCCAACGTGATGGGAACACAATCGCACGATCATCACGAAATCCGCTCTTGGCTTCAACTCGATTTCCCCGCGTCATTTGATGTGACCGTGACAACAAGAATTCAGTTATCGACATCCCGTCTTGAGGCGGGCCAGAACACTATCAAACAACTTCATTTCATCAAATGCAGGCCGTGGTTCCGATCCCATTCAACAAAAAGGTTCCGCAATCAGTACCAGAATCCAGACATCTTTTCCACTATCCACTATCTGGATTCCCGTTCTACCGGCGGTATCTCTTCACTCAATCACACAAATACCGTTACGGCATACGGATTTGCCGTCGACGTGTTAATCAACAACTTCACCACTGGCCTTCTTCAGCCGCCACTGTTATCTCGGCCCCTTTCTGCCGACCGCAGCCGCTCACGCTGACGACAACAACACCGTTGTTATGTATCGTATTCAGTCGACCTGACTAACTATTCTTCCTTCGGTTTTTTTTATCCGAACTTTGGTCTTGGAAGGGAGCGCGTGTTGTAGCCCTAATCCGAGAGAATATGTCAACTCGGGCCTATTGCGAGTGTCTGTGGGTGAACACCAGAGCTGTCTGGCATGCATCCACTTGGCCTTCAAACCGATCAATCAGATTCAAGGCCGAGTCGGACGTGGCCTGATTTGAGACGCTCTGTAGCATTCCCCGAACGGATACTCGGGACGTCGCTTACCCGGCGCCGGACGTGCCCTCTTCCGACTGCCAATTCTTCCCAACCCCTTCTTTTGTTCTGTACAGAATACATGATCCACGTCCTACTTCTTCTATTTTCATTCGGGGCTGGGCCTGAAGGTCGTGGTAGACAGGGTCTCACGCACGGCATAGGCTGCTGCGATGGCGTTCAGGCCTATACTTTTACCCTCTTCATATTTTTTGCAAATTCTTTCGATGGCGTTGTCCACGTCCTATTCCGTAATAACCTCCAACACTCTCCCCCATCTTTCCAAACTCCTTTGCAACCCTGATAACTACTTTGAGCAAATAACCAAAAACATGTTATGAGATAAACGATTTTCTTTATTGCGAACGTCACACTTGGGATATTAAGCGGAATACGGATATCTGGTCTAGAAATGTTTCTTTCACACGCAAGTGTTCCGTGCAAACATTAAAATATGTCCGAACTCAGTCCATAGTCATCGGGTCTACGCTCGTTCAGGACTGCTCCAGTAGGATGGTATTCTGTTCTCGTGGTCTTCCAGACACGTCGGTCGGTAGTTGGGTCTTGCCTTCACCGGGATGAGTTTCCCATGCTTCTAGCATATTGTCAGTTTTCAGCTTGAGCAACAGTCAGTGGTGCATTTTGCCCATATATGTCCATACGGGCTTTCCAGACTCTGTAACCAGTTTCGCGTAAATTCCGATTCAGTCTACTCTAGTAAGTTTGCATCACATTCGTGTGTTTTCTCACTGTTGGCTTGGCAAACGTTGCACTGTGATTTATAATATACTGCTGGGAGCCTTTGGAGGGCAGGTGGGTGTACATCTTCCCTCAGTTACCCATTTCCCGATCACGACTTTCGGTGAGATCCAGCTTCCGTCGCTGACTTGTTCGGAAAGGGCTTTCCTCCTCCTAGTGTCATATATTTCAACGATCTAATATCTCCTGCTACTTCATTTTCTGTATCTTCGTTGTCTAATGAGCGATTTACCAGTCCGACTTCTACACCGTGTCCACTTACTGGACTTGTGGCTTCCCGCAGTTTTTTCGTGCGGACACTGCGGCATACGCAATACCACTTCATAGCCGTGTTCCGGCCAACCCCTACCGATGCCGCACACCGCTCAGCACACACTCCTTCTACGAACTGGTCACCGATTATCGTTAACTTTGACAGCGTCAGCTTGCTTCTTGGAAGCACAGGTCCGGTTAGAAGGGCCTTCTTTCATCTGTAATGGTCGAAACTAAACGTGGAACCGTCCGTATACTGTCTGAGGACCTTCTACAGCATGATGCGACGGCGCCGTCACGTCAGCTTTTAAGTCAGCAACTTCCTTTTCTGGAAGTATGGCAGAGTACCCGGCAGATCCGCAACTTTTAGACTTTCGCTTTTCGACTTACGGTCCCCTTCTGCGACGGCATCAGCTGCCGGCGCACTCCCATTACACATTTGATTTAATATCATCTTCCGATTGGCATGATCACAAACACTTATTCGCAAACTCTATTACATTCAAAAATCTACTACGTCCTTTACCCTCCCCCCTCTTTTACGCAAACTCAGTAGGAGCAGTAAATACTCAATCACGCCCTCGACTCTACACAAGCATATATTTCACAAATATTAATTGCTGAATTTTATTTTACCAACAACCCGAGTCTCCGTTGCCTTTGTTCTTCGCACGCTTCAAACAATTGCAGCAGCCAGTTACACAAAATTTCCTAATTGGCCTAATAGTCCACTTTACAAACTCGAATTCTGTGTCCTTTTTCCATGCTTGCGACCCTCACCTTTGCTAAGCCCTCTTTTCGCGAATGCTTTAACTACTTCAAACCTGCAGTAAATGTGTTTTTGGAATCACACAGGCTTTACAGTCAGCACATACTAGTAAACCGCAGTCCGCACTGAAAACTAGAAACAACGAAGATATTAGGAGAGTCAACGAATTCAAAAAGTTCCAACAATCAAACTTCTACTCAATACAATATGCGACTATATGGATTGTCCTCCCAAGTCAAATTCGAAAGTTCAAAACCTAATAGAACGTAAAATAAAAATCAAGAAATTTTTTTAAAATAGCAGTACGCACCTACTTTTGAATAACATAAGATATTCTCCAAGTCAGTCCTTTGACGTAGAATTTGACCAAAAAGGACTTACATGATGCCAGTCACCAAAATAACACCAGAAAATAATCCTAAAAAATAAATACATATATCATCAGCAGTATAATTCATAATTAACTAACTCTCCAGATACTGAAAACCTTCAAGAAACGAACACAAATGTACCTTCTAATAATAATCTACAGATGTGTATATGTATGTATGTATGTATGACAGCAAGACTATATGAGAATATATTGATACCATGTAAAAATATATTGGATTATACGAAGCAACCGATCAATCTACCTACAATAGCATGTTATCAAAAACAATTTGGTACCTGATATTATTTTGACACCTTTAATAGATATTTACCACTTTAAGTTTCATGGTGTTGACCCGTACCCATCTTTTTTAGGTGTTACTCCAGGTAACTATGGTTAGCCATCGGAGAGACACGAATGGCCGATGCGACCAGATCTAAGCAACTCTCTGGGGTGTAGGGGTGTCAGCGGTGGGTTCACGTAATGGTCGTGGTGGTCGCTCACTTGCTTGCAGGTGAGACTGCGCCTAGCATCCACTTGCTGGCACTCAACTCTCACCTGTGGCTCCACGTAGCTGGGCTCTGCTCAGCGGCCACACCCCGGGCAACCGTCTCGACCGGCGGGCTGAACCAGGTGAGGGGGCCCTGTGCGCTGTGCCGTGTGCACAAGGTTTGCGGATTCCGCTGAATGGAAGGTCGGATGGAACCTTGCGTCGGCACCGTCGTGACGTGGTTCGTCTCTGCACGTCGCTTGACAGCCGGTGACGGGATGGACCTCCACATCGACATCGCCTTGACGCGCCCACCCTCGCCGACGGAGACCGCGGCTTACGGCGAATTCGAGTCGCTCTCCACTACAACCCGAAGTCGTGGTCCCATAGTTGAGTTCGGCCGTGCCACAACGGCACATGGCAGCCCTATTCAGGGATGGCACTGCCAGCCCCCACGAGGGGAAGGGCCTAGAAAAGGTGGCCTAAACATTGCTGGGTACCACGCCGTCTCCAGGCTAGCCAGGGCCGCAGACGTCTAAACATGGTCGAAACAATCAAAATCGAAACAACAACAATACCAATAACAACAACAACCAAACTCATTCTCCTCACCCTACCTCTTCTTCCTCTACCTCCGTCTATTCTTCTGCCTATTCTTCTCCTTCGTCATCTTCTTCTCCATCTCCTTCCCGTCGCCCCACTCGTTGTCACCACACTGGCAGGGTGAGCCCGCTCACTCTGGCAGCCTGGAATGTTCGTTCCCTTTTAGACAATCCGAGGAGCAACCGACCGGAGCGGAGGACGGCGCTAGTGGCACGAGAACTGGCGAGCTGAAAGGTGGACATCGCCGCACTCAGCGAGACCCGTTTCTCCGAACAAGGCCAACTGGAGGAGGTGGGTGCCGGCTACACCTTCTTCTGGAGCGGTCGACCCAGGGGAGAGCGACGGGACGCGGGTGTCGCCTTCGCCATTCGGAACGACATCGTGGGACGACTGCCCTGTTTGCCGCAGGGCATCAACGATCGCCTGATGAGCCTCCGCCTGCCTCTCTGGGGAGGCAAATTCGCCACCATCATCAGCGCCTACGCTCCGACGATGACCAACCCCGACGCCGTCAGAGACAAATTCTACGAGGATCTGCACGCCCTCTTGGCGACTGTGTCGAAGGCGGACAAGTTGATTGTCCTTGGCGACTTCAACGCCCGCGTCGGCGCAGACCATACTGCCTGGAGAGGTGTGCTGGGTCCCCACGGTCTCCGCGGCTCAAACGACAATGGTCTGCTGCTTCTCCGCACCTGCGCAGAACACCGCCTCATGCTGACGAACACGTTCTTCTGTCTGTCGGAGCGAGAGAAGGCCACCTGGAGGCATCCTCGGTCGCGCCAGTGGCACCTGCTGGACTATGTCCTCGTCCGGAGGCGAGATCAGCGGGACGTGCTGGTGACGAAGGCGATCGCGGGAGCTGATGGGATGAGGGACATTCCGGGCTCGAATCGGACTTGTTGGACATCTTCGGATTAACTGCGCCTCTCGAACGGCACCAACCATCGTCCCCCCGCCTGCCTCTTCCTTCTCCTCTCCGCCGCCAAATAACCCTGATAATTCTTCTGACCCACTACTTCCATCATCGTCCTCCTCCTCCTCCTTCTACTCCTCCTCCTCCTCCTCCTCCTCCTCGCCCACTGCTCCAACGGCGGCCGCTCAGGCGACTGTCCCACGCACAGCAACCGACACTACCACCACCTCCCCCGACTCCAGGGATGAGGATCACGACTACACCTGCCCCCACTGCGACCGTACCTTCACCTCGCACATCGGCCTGGTCGGTCACTTGCGAATCCATCGCACAGAGCCTGGTGAACCAGTGCGTGAAGCACCAACCTACACCCACCGCACTCGCCTCCACTGCCCACACTGCCCACGCACCTTCAGGCATCGCATGGGCCTTTTCGGCCACATGCGCATCCACGAGAGCGGCCTTGGCCGCACTCCCGACACACCCACTACATCCAACACATCCACCGTGCACACCCCCACTCTCGTTCCATCCGTCCGCGACACCACCACCACCACCACCACCGCCTCCTCTGTAGCTGACACTGACACCGCCGACTTCTCATGCCCACACTGTCCACGCACATTCACCTCACGCATCGGCCTGGTCGGTCACTTGCGAATCCATCGCACAGAGACTGGCGAACCAGTGCCTGGAGCACCCACCTATACCCACCAAGCTCGTCTCAACTGCCCACACTGTCCTCGCACTTTCAGGCATCGCATGAGCCTATTCGGCCACATGCGCATCCACGACGACCTGCGGTAGACAACCGCCGGCCACACCACACATTCACTCACTCCCTACCTCCTCCACCACCACCATCACCCCACCAGAAATCAACACTCACACGCCTCATGCACCCAACTGCCACCTCCCACGCAAGTGGGAAGTCCGCATCTCGACTCGGTCCCCATGCGGCTTCGGCTGCACGGGTGACTTGAGTCCGAGACTATCCCGACACGTCAAGCGTCGTGGATAGGAAGGTTGCTGATTGACGCCCGCTCTCGGTTCACGCAGTTCGTCGTGTTGTGTGTGTGTTGTGTGGAGTGGCGGACTGGTGGGCTGGGAACGGGCTGAAACAGCACTTTCCACGGCACTCTCACGCAAGTGAGAGACACGCCGTTCAACCCCGTTGTGTGAAATCCTGGTGTTTGTGTGTGTATGGGGGCCAGGTCGTGCCGTGGCGCGCGCAGTCATGGTCAGTCGACCATGACAGCCACCGCGCCCATTCCCCACTCCAGTCTGCCGACCGGCTCGGACGGCGGCTGGAGTGTGAAAATGGGAAGGGAGAGTGAGGTCGACGACTCAGCGCACTTTCTCCTCACTATAATCAATCTGACGCGCTTGAAGCTATCACGGTGCACTAAAAGCCGTGGCTTGGAAGGTTGCCAACTGACGGGGTACCTTGGACCTCCTACTTAATCGGAGGCGGTCTGAGAGTCAGGCTGCAATGGCTCCTTTTTAATGTCGCCTTTATGGCACTACCATCACAGTGTGGGATCCGAGCCAGGCGTTGGCGGCACGCCCAGGTGCGGCTTCGGTCGTGCCAGCCTCCAAATCTCTCTTGTGTTGGTTGAAATCCTGGTTATTTGTTGTGTGGACCAGGGAGTGTGGTGGAACGCCAAGGTGAGGATCCGTCCGAGTCATCCACTTGCGGCCTCTCTCGTCTCCGGTCTTCTTGACACTGTCTTGACACCGGGCTCGGGCGAGGGAGGAGAGAGTGTAGGTAGATGCTACGCAAGTCTACCGGCACTATAAACCCCTGCGTAAGTCACCGTCCCTGCTCCCATTGCTGCTGCAACTGTGGGGCACACGGTGGACATCATCGAAACCGATGGTCGAACTGTCAAGCAACTCTCTAAAAAACTGGTAGCCGACAATTAGCAGAGATCCGAATTGATCAACTCGCTGATCCCAACTCTGGCCGAAATCGAAATTTCCCGAGTTCCACGAAAGGCGAAATATGCGTTACCCTAAAAACTGCCAAACACGAAACTTAAACCCCTATGATATACGTTTAATTTCTTCCTAACTTTCGCTATTAGTATGCATTAAATATTCAGGTTTTTTAAACTTCGAACAAACTACCAATACCAGCCCTATTAGCTAAGCACAAGATAGACCTTTTGTCACAGACTATGAACTAAGCCAATCTGTCTATACATGTGAGAGGGAGCAAGCCGGATGCCTCCCACGGTCGACATTAAGGCAAAGGAGTTCATTTTACGTTTTCCTATGCTCTAAGCGGACTGACAACGCCCAAGATGTGCTTGAAACAAGCATTTTAGTCTAAAATAAAGAGATTTCAAGATATACTGCGGTAAAAGGATTACCTTGACTATCTTATTTGCAAGAATGTTCATATTCAAGAATTTGCTTACACGTGCAAAAATTGCAATCGGACGGAAAAATCGTTTTATTAAGCTACCTTTACAAGGAGAACACAGCGAATGAATGGACTAAGTGATCTGAGGAGAATGAATTGCTCACCGGATCGGGGGACTTTTCATGCTGACGTTTCGAAGAGCTGGGGCTGCTCTCCATTGTCAAAGCGTCAAGTGAAGAAATCGATCAGCATTTTTGAATAGACTGCCGCATTAGTTGGCCCTGGGCTGATCGATTTTTTTCTTCCTTCTCTGCCTCGGCCTACTGGCCGTCGCCTGTGAATGTTTGTGGCCCCCTGTAATACGTGTCGTCACCTCAATTGGGGTTGGTTGCGTTTGCCTTCCCCTTTTGGGTGAAGTGGTCGACAGGCCGTGCTTGCTCGGCATTCTTAGGCTCCGTGTGATTGTCTTGTCTTCGTCACGGTGTATGAAGTGACGTAGGACTTTATAGGCCGAAGGAAGGTCTAGATGCCTGTTGATGGAGTTGGCATCTGAGTACCAAGCCTCAAGAGTGAGACGCTCAGTCCTTGAGGTGCCCCTGCCTATGACGGCTGCTCCTTGAAAATCAAAACTGTGACCAGTTTCTCCGATGTGAGCCGCAAGCTGTGAGTTTGGGTCTAGTCTCCGTGTTGCCAGTTTGTGCTCATGTAGGCGGGTCTGCAATTTCCGTCCGGTTTCCCCAACGTAGTTGCAGTCTCCATCCTTACAACGTATTTGATAGACAACTGCTGAGGTTTCAGTGGGTGGCAGTATGTCTTTGGGTTGCATCAAACGGCGACGAATTGTTGCCTGGGGTCGATGGGCAATACCTACCCTGGCGGGTTGTAGCAGTCTTGAAACCGCTTCGGAGACTCCTTTAATGTAAGGAATAGCCCTCCAGACTTCGGGTTGTTCTTCTTGTGGCCGTCGTCTGTTCACTCGGCGCTTGCTTTGCTTGATGAAGTGGCTTGGGTATCCATTGGTTTGAAAGAGATCATGAAGATATTGTCGTTCAACTCTTTTGTCGGCTGGTGTGCTGCAGTGTGTTTCAACTCTTTGGAACAGAGTACGGACACAGCTGCGTTTGTGGGAGAGGGGGTGATTGCTGTTGAAGTGCAGTATTTGTCTTGTGTTGGTGGCTTTTCTGAAAACGGTAGTTTGTAATTCTCCAGTTGCACACCGACGCACAAGGACATCGAGGAAGGGAAGTTGGTTGTTTGTTTCGGCTTCCATCGTGAATTGGATATTCTGGTCAACCGAGTTCAGTAATTCTTTAAGGTGCTCCACGTCAGATGATTTGACAATGGCGAAGGTGTCATCGACGTAACGAGCCCAGAACTTTGGTTGATACTTGGTGAACACTAAGTGTTCTATCCGTTGAAGAACCACTTCAGCAATCAGCCCTGATATGGGGGAGCCCATAGGGGTGCCTTTGATTTGTTCATACATTTGTCCACCAAAGGTGAAATATGTTTTTAGGCAATAGCGTAAGAACTCCACGAGATGTTCCGTCTTCAGGGGATTGTCTCTCTCGTTGTAGCGGTCAGCTTGCGGCTCACATCGGAGAAACTGGTCACAGTTTTGATTTTCAAGGAGCAGCCGTCATAGGCAGGGGCACCTCAAGGACTGAGCGTCTCACTCTTGAGGCTTGGTACTCAGATGCCAACTCCATCAACAGGCATCTAGACCTTCCTTCGGCCTATAAAGTCCTACGTCACTTCATACACCGTGACGAAGACAAGACAATCACACGGAGCCTAAGAATGCCGAGCAAGCACGGCCTGTCGACCACTTCACCCAAAAGGGGAAGGCAAACGCAACCAACCCCAATTGAGGTGACGACACGTATTACAGGGGGCCACAAACATTCACAGGCGACGGCCAGTAGGCCGAGGCAGAGAAGGAAGAAAAAAATCGATCAGCCCAGGGCCAACTAATGCGGCAGTCTATTCAAAAATGCTGATCGATTTCTTCACTTGACGCTTTGACAATGGAGAGCAGCCCCAGCTCTTCGAAACGTCAGCATGAAAAGTCCCCCGATCCGGTGAGCAATTCATTCTCCTCAGATTACCGACCCGGATCTCTTACTTTTGCTAACCTGAGGACTAAGTGATGCCCGAATTAAGTGGTGCTACACGATTTTCTTGTTCTTTGCCAACATGGTTCAACAACCTGCTTCTACTGGGTCCCTACTCCGTCAGTTGATCCTGCTGGATGCGCTTTATCAGTCTACCGAGAAGTCTTTTTAACAAACTGCACCAGCATAGTTTAGGAAATGCGAAAGTAGAGTACCATAAAAACTTAATCCTTGAGCACCTGACAGACTGTGGTCGCCAGAGGAAGCTGTTCAGCACTGACGAAATACCAAAACATATAGCTGAAGCGGGCCTAGACGATTGATAATGTGATCCCACACTGAGACCAAGTCGAGTAAAGCCAAGCAAAACGACCAGACCAGAACAGACGGTGGGTTAAAACTCCTTTAGTGAAACCGAAACTGACGTCAGCTGGAGTGTCCGCGTAACCGTTGCACACAGACCAACGTAAACAAAAGTTGGCAAATGCGAGTTTAAGAAGGGCTTAACAAATAGAATAACCATGACAACAGGTCTGCGTTCGGTTATAGTGACCCGAAACCAAATTGCCAGATATCACATACAGGTATGAAGTGACTAAGTGAGGAAATCTTAACCCAGTTTAATTATCCAATCTCCACTTCAGACGAACTTTTTTACTCTTGACTACTCCCCATTTTTCTAACTTTCGCCGCTACATTTTTTCTGTTTGGTTCTGACTAGATGACCAAATGTCGGTGACAAATCGCGTCAAAATTTGGATTTTTTTTTACATCACCCGCATGGATTTTAAGGTTCTTGAGGATGGTACACGCAGCCAGCCCGGAAGTGCCTGAACACACTTGCTATATTTACCAGCCTAGAGAACGCCGTGGCTTTGAACTACCTGGTGTTACACTTCCAAGCCGAGTGTCAAGAAGTCCAAATTAGCAACCGTTGGAGGGTTAAGGGACCCGCTAATATTTGAACATCTTGAATATAACGTTGTCCTAGCACAATGTATCGGCCGATAATGGAGTTCACGGTGGAGATGAAATGTCTGGCACTGGGTCTATATCAACACAAAAATTCGCCAAATTTTAGATTGTTAAACTTCGTGAGCAATAAAACTTATAAGTCTGCACACAAACACAAGTCCAGACACTTGGTAAGCTTCAGAAGAAGCTATCAGGAATGGATGCCATAGGTAAAGAAAGACCGGGGTTTGGATAAGGCCGCTTGAAGACGGCTAACAATCCAGAAATGCCGATTCTGGTCTTTTTTGTCTTTGTCGGTAATGTTCTTTTGATAAAACAAGTAGCCGCTATGCGGTTGGTGACGGACGAAG